ATTTATTTATACTTTTTTCCTTGGTAGGTGGTGACAAGCATTAGTGGACGAGAAGCCTAACCGTAAAGAAAATGGAGATGCAATTCATCTCCTTCCACCATGGAGGGATAATTAAGAGTTTTACCATTCAATAGGAATTTAGAAGGTCTGTCCTGAAAAAGTCTAGCCTTTGTTAATTTAATGAGAATGCTTTGCGCAAAATCAGTGTAACCTGGCAGGAGAGTGGACTGGAATGTGCATGCGTGAACAAAGGAGGCTTTTCTGTACTAGTCAGTGGGGAACTAGACGCCGTTGAATGAGCATGCTTATGGTGTGACCCATTGCATTCAAAATGACTGAGTGAGTACAGCAATGAATCTACATCAAATTTTGCATTAACTTTGAACATTCCTCTTCAGAAACTATTTGAATGATTCAGTAGGCTACCAGGGATGATGCAATGAGTGCAGTGCAAACGTTTCAAAAATGGGCGAGAGTCTTTTTAAAGTGATCCACATTCTGGAAGGCCTGCAACAAGCAGAAAACCTGAGTATTGAACATGTACAGGCTGAAATCAACAAAGAAGCAAATTACAGTGTGAGAACTCTAACTGATCTGAAGATTCCAAAAATTACTGTGTCAAAGATTGTGTGAGGTCTCAAAGTGCCTATTTTCGAGGGGAGTGAGGTGTCATTGTCCTGTGTAGAATGTTTCTTGTATCCTTCTCAACAATTGTTTTTTTTTTTCATATTAAGCACCCCTTAGTGGGCTACTAGTGTTAAATTTAGTTTTTGGTCTCCCTGTATTCAAGGAGAGACAATCCCTGGTTAGGAAAGTGCGTGACCACCAGGGGGCTGAGATGGGTATAAATATGCTGGGGCCTGGAGCAGCTTCCTCTTTTTCCTGGGGAAGAAAGACCCAGCCTGAGGGTTGTGGCATCCTTGGAAGGCTAACTGCAACACCAAATAAATCCTTTTGGGGTCCAGCTCCTGCTTGAGCTGGGGGACCTCTGGCCAAGCATGCCAAAATCTCATCAGAGGATCCAGGACACAGGCAACAAGTACAGAAGCTGACTGATATTGCAGGTGGCAACACCGTATACAGGGCACAGTGAGTAACTGCCGTGTGGATTCCAAAGACTTTTCATTGCCTTATTTGGGAGAACTCACAGCAGTACATCCAGGATTATACTCCTTTTGAGAAGTTCTTGTTGGTATCCAGTTACTTTCACATTCAAGAGGGTGATTTTCACCCTGAAGAAGTAGATCAGATTTAGAGTCCTCCATAAGTTTGTTATGGTTTTTTTTTTTTTTTTTTTTTTTTTTTTTTTTTAAAGTGTCCCAAGGCTCATCCTTACCCCATCCAAGTTTTGATCAGCAAATAAACTGCAAGACTAGCACAGCCTCTTTCCTGACTTGAGTGACTGTGAACTACTGTGTACCTGGCTCCGTGTGCCAATCAGAGAATAGAGCCTGGGACCAAACAGCCAGAAAAGGCCCAGGTCTGCGATGCACATGTTACATGGCTGGATACTTTCTGGACCTACCTTGCATACTCTTTTTATTATTGTCAGGAATAAAAATAATCTTATTTTTTTTAGGTGAACTTCTATAAAATATTGTATATAAATGTTTGACCATTACATTCCCAGCCATCCAGAGGAGATGGTTACCGGTCTGTTCTTAGCTGCTTTGTTGAGAAAATAAAGTCTGCATTACAGAGCTCTAGTCTGGTCTATAAAGCTTTAAGCGCTTGTAAAGGCTAAAGGTTTTTTACCTTAATGCATTGTCTGCCTTAAAGTAAAAACATTTGGTGTTAAGCTACCTCCAGCACCCCCTATTTCCATAAATACATACCTAACCGCGGTAGCCAAGAGCGCCGACGGGAGACCCCAGAAGAGGAGAATCAGGGCTGATCTTTGCAAAACCACTGCACAGAGCAGGCAAGTATGACACGTTTGTTTTGAAAAAAAAAAAATTAACCATTACCATCACTTTAAAGTGAATCAATGAGATGTCGGATCCCCCCCCCCCCCCCTTTCCTCACCACCTGCTCTGTTCAGACAAGGCTGTATCTTTTGGTAAGTCTGAAGGCAAGCAGTGACTGCTTTGCCCTCAAATTTGTAAAAAAAAAACATATAGCTATATGAATATTGTGGCATGGGTGTACCCTCTATTAAATGTTTTTGTTTGCAATATAAGTATTTTATATCGTGTAGAAAAATAAATAAAACAAAAAGGTAGTACTACAAAACTGTTGCAGTACCATTGTGGTGTCCTATTTAGTTATCAATCTGGAATTGTAATATAGGGATCTGAGACACCTTGGAATTGATTTACCTGAATGTAAATAATGTTCTCCATCTGATAATAATTGCTGTTACAATAGAGTTGATTTTTTAAAGGCAAATACGTTGTTCATTTTGCAAGGGAATTTTCCCCCTACTGACTTCCATCATCCAAACATGCAAGGCAGATTAATTTTTTTTTCTTGCATGTGATTGGGTATTGTTTGCAAAGTGAATTTTCATCACCTTCATTAAGCTAAGGAAACATTCTCTTGCAAAGTGAACAGCCTATTTGCCGTTAGTAAATCAGTTCAGTTTTTACAGAAATTACTATCAGCTGGAGAACATTTACATTCACTTTAACTATGTCAGATTACAGCTTGATATATATATATATCCATTTTTATTTTTTTAACATTTACCTAATTTTAAGTATATTCAGTTAGAATAATTTTCATGCCATAGGAGCGGGACTATTTAACTACTTCAACACACTGTTCTGGAAACTCTTATTTTGCTTTTTCTGTTCAGAAAGTTTCATATTTTTTGTTTGGCAGCAGTAGCAAGGAATCAGTGTTTTTATCTTGATTTGGTTCCCTGTTCTTTGCTCCCTCTTGGCGAGAAGTGCGTTTTGTGAGTCATACAAGCCGTTGCTCCTTATGAAAGATGAAAACATAGGGCAGGAGGAGAGCAGTTGGGAGGTTACACTGAAGTTAGTAGGTTGACTCTGTCAAGGTCTAATGGGATTCCTCCAGTCAACAGGATTCATTACCCTGATGTATGATGGCCGATAATATCTGAAGGATGTGCTAGAGAGCAATTTAGATCAAGTATATTGCCTGTCAGGAGGGAATAAAACACACAAGCTGTAAAGAAATAAATATATATATAAAAGAGCACCAGTTAGTTGGCTGTCCACACTTTACTGTTCTGTTGCTTAAATGTTGAGCTAAAACTATTAAAAAGTTTGAGTTGGTTGCTAGACCTCAATCTGTGTACTATAAGTTATGTTAAAGCGGTGCTAAAGTGGTTGTAAACCCTTACATATACCCAGTAAAGTGACTGGCCTCAGGTGATACACAGAGATGAAAAAAGCATCCTACATATGTTGTAGCTTTCTATCCGCAACTATCTATATCTTCTCTTCTCTACATCCATTCAAAGTGCTGAATTTATAAAGCTTGTTTGAGAGTTCAGAAAACAGGGGGCTGAGAGCTAAAATTACACACTGTAGAGTTCAGTGAGGAGAGCTCTGAGAGTTGATTGGAGGGAAGAGACACACCCCCTCCACACAGCTCACAGGAACAGGACTGAGGTTGTCAATCTGCTAGAGGTCCCTCCCGTCACATTTTTATCTTGATGTCAGGAATACTTGTTAGAAGTTATTCATGCCAATAGCAAAGGAACGAGGCAACAGACAGAAATGACACTTAGTGCTCTTAATTGATCAAAATACACACTATAGAGGGATATGCTATGTCTGAGGGTTACAATCACTTTAAACTATATATTTTTTCTTTTTATTGTGCCTCCAGGAGGTTTATGCCATAGTATGTGTCAGGGATCGCGGCGTCCTGTCGGTCGGCACATGCGCACTGGCAACAGCTCACGCCGGGATACAAGCACTAGGTCCCGGCGAGCCGCGGATAACAGGACGCCGCGCATGCGCAGTGGTAGCCGGGGGCGCGCCTCGGGCGGCCAATGACAGCCCAGGGGCGCGTCCTGGGCGGCCAATGACAGTGCAGGGCGCGATATTTAAAGATGCCCTGCACTGTCACTGATTGCCGCAAGGTCTTCTGAGTTCCTGAATCCTGTACCTGTGTTTTTGATCCTGATTGACCCTGACTACTCTACTCTCTCCTGCATTTTGACCCGGATTGTCCTGACTACTCTACTCTCTCCTGCATTTTGACCCGGTGTCAGGGATCCTACAGCGGTAGCCTCTAGCACTCCCACAGAACGGATTCCCCCAAGGCGCGGAATCTAAGTCCCTACCTGCTTGTTCACCAGGGCCCCTGATGGTGGGGATGGACTTGGAGCAGGCCGAGACCAGGTCGCGGCCCTTGAGTTCACCCAGCCGTGGTAGAAGCACCGTTGGAGGTGTATAGCAGGTGAGAGTCTGATGTGAGGAGGTCACAAGAGCAGCGTCAGGCAGGCTGGGTCGGTAACAATGGTGGCAGCGTGGTACAAAGTCAGCAGGCAGAGGAATAAACTGGTCACAAGCCGGGTTCGTTAACAGGAGATCAGAACGTGCAGGGTTAAGCAGGAGAATGGTCAGACAAGCCAGGGATCAGAGCAGGAGAAGACAGCAGTATCAGGAACAGGCTGGGTCGGCAACAAGGTATTCAGGAACACTGGATCAAACAGGAACACAGGTAACAGGTAAGACCATACGGCACTTGAGCATTGCAAGAGCTGGGTTTAAATAGGCCGCCCAACTCCTGACAGGCGCTCCTGGGTCCTAGTGCCTGCCCGGCGCAGTCATCGGTGACAGGCGCGCCTGGGTCCTAGTGCCTGCCTGTATGTCTTGTCAGGATTCTACGCATGTGCAGATTCGATCGCCGAGGCGATCTTCCCATTCCCTGACACCCGGATTGTCCTGACTACTCTACTCTCTCCCATCCTGACCCCCGGCTTGTTAAACCTATCTACGGACTGACTTCTCCTGCTGACCCTGCGAGTGACCTGACGATTCTCCGCCTGCCGATTCTGTACCACGCCTCTCCCACGGGACCACTGCTCGCAATCTATCCTGCTGGGCCCTGCCGTCCTCCTCACATCTGGCTCTACCGGTACCAATACATCCCCAGAGGTTCCCCCTGCCACTGGTGGCCCTGCTCAGAGGTCGTGACCTGGTCCTGGTCTGTTTCAAGTCCATCCCCACCATCAGGGGCCCTGATGAAAGCACAGACCGGGACTTAGACTCCATGCTTTGGGTAGGTCTGTCAAGTGGGCAGCCAGCAGCACCATCTGGCGGATCATAACAGTATGAAGCACATATAAGCACATTATGGTAGACTGTCTTATCACATCAGCTCTCCGACACTGTACAGTCACCCCTCCCCCTGGTCCTTGACACTTCCATCATTGCTTGGTCTTCATTCAAGGTTCAATCTCTCCGGCCTCTTGAATGGCCAAACTGTGATTACATCACTCTGGTGCATGTGCATGGGAGGCACATCACCACTGACAGGCCAGTAGAGCCATTTAAAGCAGAAGAGACCACTAGAGTCTCTCCTGTTATAAAAACCCTACCTGTCAGCAGTTTTTAAAAATTTTACTTCAATACCGCTTTATCTCATAATGATAACATCGTGTTTTTTTAGAACAGGAATTGTGTCCTCACTACCCCAGGCATTATGAACAGGTACAGATCGTAAATCCCAGGGGACTCTTCATTATACTCGTAGCAGTGTGACCACCAGTGATATATCTATCATGACGAAGAATGGTGGGGATTTCCAGCAACTATTTGTGATAGTGGATCATAATGCCTTCTCACAGAATAATTTAATCGCCTTGCTCAGATACTGCGAACATTTCAAGCAGAGAGCTCTCTAAATTTTATAATGTGATGTTGTAACCCAAAATACCTCAGACTAATTTAAGGATTTTCCCTACATTCTAATAGAAACAATTATTCTTCTCTTGGCTACTCATGCTAAAACCAAACCATATTAGAACATTAAACTTTAATTACTGAGCCGTTTCAAGCTGTTCTACTATTACATTTGAAAATTACATTTATTACTGCACATTAGAGAGTGTTGGTGTTTCAGTGATCAGTCTTCAGGTTCCTGACACCTCTTTCTACAAAGTGAACTAAAAATTGTAAAACTGCATTTTTATAGTACTTTTTGTTAAAGTAAAGAAGCAGAAATCCTAATAATTCAGTGCCTAACTAAATTTATTGGGATTGTGGCATATATTAATTTATAAATTTGTACAGAAAACAGCAGGCTTTAAAGGAATAAAGAGCGTAAAGCATGGCTTGTATGTAGCCCTAGCCAGCAAAACATAATCTAATTTATGTACAAGCCCAGAATATTGGAGACCTATTTTCATGCCTTCAATCTAATTCTTTAGAGACTCTTTAATGACTGGCATAGTACCACTGGATTGGCATAAGGCCAATGTGGTGCCTATATTTAAAAAGGGATCAAAATCTTTACCAAGTAAAGTAAAACTGGCTAAAAGACCGAATTCAGAGAGTAGCAGTTAATGATTCATTCTCTGAATGGCCTAGGGTTGTTAGTGGTGTACCCCAAGGTTCAGTGTTTGGGACCCTTTTTTAGTATATTTACTGTATAAATGATATAGGGTTTGGGATTAAAAACACTGTTTTAGTCTTTGCAGATGACACCAAGCTATGCAGTAGAATAATGTCCTCACAGGATGTCTCCAACTTAGAAGCCAACCTCAATGCACTTATTATTTAGGCAACTACAGTGAAGGAAATAAGTATTTGCTCCCCTGCTGATTTTGAATGTTTGCCCACTCGCAAAGAAATGATCAGTCTAAAAATCGAATGGTAGGTGTATTGTAACACTGAGACAGAATAGCAACAACAAATTCTAAAGAAATGCATGCCTAACAAATGATGACTGATTTGCATGTTCATGACGGAAACAAGTATTTGATCCCCTATCATTCAGCAGGATTTCTGGCTACCAGGTGCAATGTCTGCACCATGGGGTGCACATGGTCAGCCAAAATTTTGTACATAGTCGCTGGCAGTGACCCTACCTTTCAAGGTGATGATGGGGCCTCCAAAATACCAAGATATGGCTGCCCAAATCACGATTGCACCTCCACCATGCTTTACCATTGGCACGAGATAGTTCTGAAGTTCACCACGTGTAAGCATGTCTGGTGGTTGGGAACAGCGTGAAGCTTGATTCATCAGACCATATTACAGTCTTCCAATGATCGATAGTCCACGATTTATGGGTATTACAGCACTCTCTCCTCTTCTGAGTATGAATATCGGTCACTAGTGGTTCGGCACTTACAGCTCACCCATGAATGTTTTGCTTATGGAGTTCCCCATGCACAGTTTTTGTGGAAACGTGCTTTGGAACACTTGGACTGAGCTCTGCAGTCACTTTTGAGCAGTTTTCTTATTCTGGGTCACATTCCTGCACAATGTCCTTTTTGTCTCTTTCGGTCAGTTGACCATGCTTATGCTTATCAGACGGTTTCCTGGAAACTGTATATCCCGTCATAACCTTTAATACTGTACCATGGCAAATACATTGGTGTATTTAGTCACAGAGGCACCAGCTAAGTGGGCCCCAACCATTTGCCCTCTTTAAGGCTCAGTAAGCTCTGACATGACTCCTTATTACTAGCAGCGCACGCAGTGAATGACGAAAGTGAGGCTTCTCACCTATTAGCTAGGTGTCTCATCACACAGCAAAAGCAGAAGAATGTTACATCGCTTCCGCTTTCAATGCGAAACATGTTGTCACTTTCACACCTACAAATCATGTAGTGCTTCCATATTTTTGTCCATCTCTTGCATATCTTCCTTTGGATCTGTCTGTAAGTTAACCAGTGCAAATTGCTTTGCAGTTAAAAGGGCAACTCCTCTAGAAGATGTGGAAAAGGAACGATATGCCAATCCAATCCAAGGATTCCTCATGGAAAGTTTCACTTTCCCCAGTATGTGTCTTCTGCATGGTCGAAAAGAGTATTACGGCTTGATTTATTTTGTCTTTGAACCTCTGCTGTTGATTACTTTCAAGGCTGACACTTTAAATGGTTTGCAGTGGTAATCCATAACACATGCACTGATTGTACAAAGCTTACTGTACAGTCTGCAATTTCCAAAAGATGTATGTATACAACCATGAAGGCAAACAATAGTAATCATGCCCAAATCTCTCTCCCTGCTCTGCACACACCTCAGTTTGTGCAGGCTTGCTTTTCCAAAACTAAGAAGGAGGAGAATTTGAAGCCTAAGGCACTTGAATATAGCAGCAATATAATGTGGTTTAAAGAGAAGACTGTAGATGCTGAGTGTAACTCACAGCAGCTTGTATGCTTCATCAGGGAACTGTTAGCATTGAGAAGGCAAGCACAGAAAGCAAACAAAACAGTAGTTTCAGTTTTCCAGCAGTGAATTAGTGAACGTTCACAGGCACTGAAAAGGCAAAATGAGATGGTCTCACCTATCAGGCGCAGGATATCTACGCCAACACCAAAATATAGTAGGTAACATGCTGCCTTGAGAATGTATAGGTGTTTTCAATATTTGCTATAGTGTGTCCAAAGAATATCTCTTGCTAACAAGACTGCAGGGAACCCAACAAACCTTACATGCTTACAAAGTCCAAATAACCAACACAATCTTAGTGGTGTACCCCAAAATTCAGTGTTAGCCTATTTATAAATGATAGCGTATAGGTTTAAAAGTACCATGTTTGTGTTTGCAGATGATGCCAAGCTGTGTAGTGAAATAAACTCCTTACAGAATGTCTCCAATTTACTAGTCAACCTCAGTGTGCTATTTAATTGGGCAAAAAATGTGGCAAATGAGGTTTAATGTTGAAAAATTTAAAGTTCTTCAGATGGGCACCAAAAGCATGCATGCTTCATACATTCTAGGAGAAGAACAGCTGGGGGGTTCATTGGTTGAGAAGGATCTGGGTGTTCTGGTAGATCATGAAATATGAAAAAAGCATTACACTCTATAATGTGAACTTGTCTCAGTTAAGAGTGCTAAGTGTAATTTCTGTCTGCTTTTGACAAGTTTTCTTGACACCAAAAGAGAAAAGGTGACAGGGGGCGGGTTAGGAGGCGGGTTAGGAGAGAGAGTGAAGGGGAGGGGGAGTGAGCGAGAGAATGGGATAGAAGAAGAGAGAGAGAAAATATGAATGAATATCATTTGACTCTGTACAACATTAGTAAGGCCTCATATGGAATATACAGTTCCATTATGGGCAGTGCCGGTGCTAGACTATTTTGCCTCTTAGGCAAGACTAGCTACTTGCCCCCCCCCCCAAAAAAAAAAACTCAAAATTGGTAAATTTCTTTTAATTTGCAAAAATAAGTGCCATAAGACGCCAACAGCACCAATATTTGTGTGTCTGTCTGGTTAATACAGTTATAGTTACAAACAAAAAAGAGACAATAACGGTGTCACTGTCAGTGGTCAGTATCCAGTGTAATCAAACCCTGTGATCACATTCTGTATCAGCCAATACACAGGCGGGCAACTTTAATTCAGCTGTCAGTGTGGGGCTCAAGTACTGTATGTCCTCTGATAAAGTCTGCCTGCCTCCCTCCCTTCCAAGCTCTGTTAATCAGTGTCAAGGAGGGACTGTATCTGTGGCTGGCAGTGGCAGGCTGACAGTTTCAGTGAGTGGAGGATGATGGATCCACACTCTGACAGATCAAAGGCTGGAATTCCCCAGGCAATGGAGGGAGATAAAATGCTGTGACAGGAGGCAGCCCAGCCCACACACACAGAGAAAACGTAAACTGAGCCATCCCAGTGACAGATCTGACACAACACACCACTGACACAGATCAGCAGCACCAGACTCAGCAGGCACTAGATGAGCAGGCTGTGGGATCCCGATGATGTCATTACTCACTGACATTGCACATGTGATGGACGGCTCACACTCACACAGACACAAGACACAAGACTTTAGACAGAGTCAGAGATACCTTTCCTCTGCAGGTACAGCTCTGCTGATGATGGGAAGAGAAGGGCTGGATGGAACTCTACAGTGATCAGCAGCCACCAGCCGGCTTGCAGTAAGGAACTCTAAGAGTCTAAGAGGAACACTAGAAGGAGCAGCAGCTCAGGTGCTACACTGGCCCCAGACACCAGGCATCTTCCTTTGTTCTTTCTTCCTCCCCTCTGCCGATCTTTCCCTCAGCTAGAGGATCATGCATGACACAGCGGTGTCCCACACAGAGAGAGTACCTGCCTGTGCTGCGCCCAGGCACCCCTAGGTGGCAGTGCACCCTAGTTAGCTGCCTAGTGGTAG